ACTAATTTTTAAAAGAACTTACATAGAATGCAAATCGGTGGAACTTCTCCAGCAATATTCGAGGAAGAGTAAATGTAAAGATGGCTACATCGATAAGTAAAGTAGATAAATGTTTCAATGTATATATATTATCATCGGCAGATTTTCTTTTGTTTTGCTAGATTTAATAGTCATTTCTCAAAGGAAACAACAATGAATGTCGAAGTTTTGTAAATTTATTGAATGACGAAGCATTACAATTATTCTGACCTACCAACTGAAAAACAACCGGATAAATAGTTGAGAGCTGTAGGTTAACTTGTATATCAGTACGGCCAAGGCCATATATATAATCTTAGCTTGTTCGTCTCATTATTCGTCTCATTAGGAGCAACTATTAAAGTTTTTTCCATGTTCAAGGCGTATAAGGATTACTTATTAAATCTGATATTTAAAACGGGAACTGTGTCACTGGATAAATTGAAAATGGCAAAAATAATCTTTTGGGGAAATTTTGGAATAAAATCATTTATTATAATTATTCTGTTATCCCATAGACCCGAGTAGACTTGTGGCTTTTTTCAATAAAACTCATTTCTTGATATTATTATTATTATTACTTGGAGGTGTAATTTATTTACTTTATTAATTAATCCTTTGAGAAATTAAATGTATGTCAGATACAAGGAAATAATTTAACAATAATAATAAAAAATTAGTTATGTTATATTTAACCAAGACATAGAAAAATGCATACGAGATAAGAATCGTTAGAGCAATTGCATATAAAGAAATACTCGAACCCAAAGCCATTTACGAGTCATTTTTTATTATTAATATCTTTTCTTCGCCCTTTTTATCACCATAATCATAATCATCATCATCATCTGCTCCTTTATTCTTATCCTGAATTACTTTTTTCCTAGGATCAGTTTTTCATTGGTAGAAGTTTTTATACATTGGATACAGCGATTTCCTTTCCTTCTCCAAATAACTTCAGTTCTTATTAAATAAGTTTTAAAACCTTTTCAATATCCATTGAGAGTACTAGCGAGTTTACTTTTTTTCAGGCTCTCTATTGTGTTAGATTTTTGGTTTGTATACATTTAGTAAAAAGCCAAAAAAAATTCCGGTCGACAAAAAAATTCGCTTGTAAAAGTTAAATGTTAGTATATTTTTTATAGTTTGATGTGTAAATGAGTGAATTGGTAATGTTTTTATCAAATCTAAGAATTATTACAAAAAATACTTGTGAAAAAATAATGTAATGATAACTCATTCAAACAACGTTTTTATTATTAATAATATTCAATAATAATGTGTCACGTCAGAATTGTTGACAAATCAATCTTATATAATAATAATAATAATAATAATAAAGATTAAAATAATCGCCATAATTTGTCTTTTTAGCAGTTTCTTTTTTAAACCCGATATGTCTAAATTCTTCAAATTTAATTACGTTAATGTATTCGACTTTCATATACAAAAAAAATTTTAACGGTTTCTTTTTATTTGTTGATACTTGAAACACACAAAGGGTTTCAGATGTGCTTCGTTCACCCCTTTATTAAACAAGGAGAAATTATTTACCTTTGTGCCATGTTTGTGATTAAATCACATGATAATAGCAGCTCGGCTAAATACATTAATGATGTAGCGAATCAAATAATTTATTTTGGTCATACATTTGAATTCGCAACTGAGACATTGCAGGCTCCGGAAATGCTCGAGTCAAGCAATTTGATTAGTTGACTTGACTGGACGACACGTGAATAAAATATTGCAAACCAGCAAGGTTAAACAGAAATTTGCAAAACGAAAAATCAGAAACAGAAAATTCCACAGATATATGAACACTTTAATACACCAATTCTTAACAACATAAAAAGGGACCCAAAGAATAATATGATCCAATTTACCAAGCTGTTTATATGTTGCATAGGAAGCCATAAGCACTTGTTAATCTATACATATTATATATACCCTTTATAAATAATTTTTTGAATAAATTAAGAATTTTTGTGATAACATCAATTGCTTATTTTTATTATTTTTATAGGGGTGGGTAGGTTGCCCATATTTTATAATTAATCATTTTAAATCGGTTTGAACACATAGTCAACAAACAGAATCACTTACAAGTTTATATTTTTTTTTTTTATTTTTAAAATTGATTTTTTTATTTAAAAAAAAAATAATATAACAAAATAAATATAAACGAAAAAAAAATTTTTAAAATGAAATTAAAAAAAAAATTTGAAAATGAAATTTTAAATTTTGAAGATTTTTTTTATTATTTTACAATTGTGTATGTGTGCGTATATGTATTAATGCGATGATGAATGATGATGAAATGATGGAAGGAGAAAAAATAGATATAGAAATAAATGTTTAGAAAGTGATGGAAGGAGAAAAAAGTTGTATAAAATATATATTGTAATTTATTTATTTTATACAATATAAAATTTTTTTTTTTTTTTTACAAATTAAATAATATTTTTTCACAAGTGCGACCAGGCACTTTCTTTAATTCTAAAATTCTATAAATTATTATGTATATATGTGTGTGTGTATATATGTGTGTGTGTATATGTATATATTTATAAATAATAAATAAACAATAAATAAATAATAAATAAATTATTTATTTGTTTTTTTTTTTTTTGTTATTTACTAAAAATACTAACTATTTACAACATTCTTCTCCCTCCATCATCATAATTAAAAAAGAAAAAATAATG